TTCTACACCTTCAAAATTCCCTGCCCAATTTATTTATTTTCCAATTTCGTTTAAATTGTCAGGATTTACTGACGAGTAAATTGTTTCGTTCACAATTTTTTTTTTTTTTTTATTTTGACTTTCACTTTGACTTACACTTTAACTTACACTTTGATTTCCACTTTAACTTCTATTTAGACTTAAAATTCGATTATCGTTTTGATTTTGTCAATGACAATGTCAAAGTGAAAGTCAAAATGAAATTACACAATCGTAATCATCAATTTTAGTCCAGTTTTCATAAATCGTTGAATATTAGTTATCTAATAATTTTTTTTAATCATTTCACTTGTTAAGACATTAATGAAATATAATGCTTGTATGCTTCTTAAAAGCAGGCACGAGTCGTTTTCCACCCTATAGTATAAATATATATATATATATATATATACACACACCTGATGTGCGGTCAATGTTTTTTTTTTCCTCTCCTCCTCTCAGTACACTTGGTAAACATCCCCTAAGCGTTGAGCCTCGTTGTCCGTGCGGTGATTTTCACCTCTTGCAACTTGCTCATCGAAAAAAGGGTATGAAGCGAGAAGTAAAACAGCAAAGAGAGGCGAAAAAAAAGAGAGAAAATAAAATTGTTGACCATAGTTCGAACCTCTCATGGAGTAAGAGGAGGGGGTGGGAGGAAGTCAACACGAAAAGGGGTGACTCTCTCATCGTGATAGATAATGAGTGTGGAAGAGATGATGAAAGTACACATAGAGAGTGAGAGAGAGAGAAAGAGAGAGAGATGGGGACTATGGATTATACACCCGCACAGCTCGAATATACGAGTTAACCGCGCGTGGTATCCCGAGATTAGCTCGGGTTTATATCGGGATTACATATGTAAAACCATTAGGTTAAATCATTTTTTAAATAAACGCCTCATATGCTATATATGTATTTTTTTGGTATACGCGTCGAGTAACTCGGGAAAAGAGATAGGTGGCGCGAAATATTCGAAAGCACGAAACATTCTCCATATACTTCTAAAAATTAATCTCACCTTCTACTCTCATTTATTCACTGATAATATTATAAAGAATTAACACATGTATAGCGAAAATATCAAGTTTTATAGAAATCAGACATATTTTTGTTTTTTTGACTTTTTTTAGATACACTTTTTTTTTATTATAGTATATAACAAAATTGGAAGCAAATTATATATATAAAACTGTGTCTACATAAGATATTATCAGAGATGGATCGATGATTTTCTCTCTTTCTCTCTTTTGTCAAATGTTTTTTCGAATAGCTGTCGTACGTGACCCAGGTCCCTTTTTTGTAAAAGCAAACGAACATAAATCTGACTCGGAGAGAATTGTGGCGAGAGCATCAGAGCACCGGTTTGCGATTCTATCATTCGTTAAATGCGAGCGTGCGTTCCAAACGACTGAGCCGATAAATAAATGAAAAAAAAGGAGTAAAATAAATGTGGCGAATCAGGCGTGTGCCGGCAATTTTAAAATATCGTTGTGTGACAATTTTCTCACATATATATATATATACCTATGCGTTCGTGGATAATTCATTGACTGTATTTTCCCAAATGAGGGAAAATAAAATTATTTTTGTTTTTGAAATCAGCATTTTATTTTGAAAAAATTTATAGATAACATAATGTAATGGAAAATTTACGTTAAAAAAAGAATATAAGAATAATATTTTGAAAAGAAAAACTAAATTCAAAAGCTTAGGGAATGCCTACAGGTGAACCGTTAAGACTTTACGATTCCAGAATTAGCAGATGGAGAAGGGGTTGGTGAGAATTATTCATAAACGTAGGCCGATTCAAAGTGGTGTTCGTGTTTTGCTAGCTATATTTAGTCGTTGGAATTCCGTCGAATATTACTGTCTGGAATCTCTCGCATAATAAACACATAACGTTAATCCTTAAAACAATAATTAGCTCCAGGAGTAACCGCTTCTTCGTCTTTCTCTGAATCCACTATATATAAGAGACACGACTCTTTTTTAGTGTATTAGCTACCTTGCAATTTAATACTCCTCCACAAATATTCCCTCTACATTATATATATAAAAAAACACAGACATTTTCAGCCACAAATAATCACTAACCTAAAATCTAATTCTAAAAACTAATTATATAATTATTTTAAAAAAACTCACTTGTTATTAGATAATGCATCGTAAATGTAAAAATGTAAATAAATACCGACACAGAAATCTACCTAACTGACTGATAGTAAAGTTTTTTTTTTGAAAACTGAATATATAAAAAATTACCGACATAGAAATCTACCTTGCCGACTGATGGCAAAACTGTTTTTATGAAAAATAAAGATATAAAAAATTACCGACACAGAAATCTACCTTATCGACTGATGGTAAAACAGATTCTTTGAAAAATGAAAATATAAAAAATTACCGACCTAGGGATCTACCTTACCGATCAAAACTGTTTTACCATCAGTTGTTCAGGTAGATTCCTAGGTCGGTAATTCTTTTATATTTTCATTTTTTAAAAAAAACATGTTTTACCATCAGACGGTAAGGTAGATTTCTGTGTCGGTAATTTGTGTATTTTTTAAACAAAAAAACTGTTTTGCCATCAGTCGGTAAGGTAGATTTCTAGGTTTGTAATTTTTATATTTTTATTTTTCAAAATTTTTTAACCATTTTTTTTAACCATCTACAAAATTTAAAATAAATTTCGAAATAAAATTTTTCCAAGTATATATATATATATATTAAAAGATTCATTCTCGGCTGTTGTAAAAAAGCAGAATTCATTTTCATAAGCAATAAAGCATATCTGAGAGTTGAATTAGAGAAAGGAGAGTTATTTTTCTTACTTCAGTCCCTCATTTATGTAGATTTATTTAGCGCAACTTTTCGCACTTCACTTGAGGGGGAGGGTCGCGGGGGGAGGGTTTAGGGGGATATATAAGGCATATTTATACAATTCTCTGAGACTTACTCGTAGGGTTTCTTCGTTGGCAAACGACTTTTGAAAGTCGCGCGGTAAAACATTTGAGTTAACAAGAGGAAAGAGAGAGAGAGAGAGAGAGAGAGAGGGGGGGGAGGGGAGGAGGAGTTGGGTGCCAGAGGATGGCCAAGTGGGTAATAGTTTTAATCCTGTGTCTTGAAGTCTGGATTTGGCGTTGCGGCAGTTAGTGGTTTGCCTGCAAGTGTGTAGGCGATTCTACTTCACGCTCTGATATCATAATCCGAATAATCGCCGTTATTGCCGCCATTTGCTTAATCCGTGCCCCCCTCCCCCCCCCTCTCTCTCTCTCTTACCGCAAGAGGCATTTTATGTAGTCCAATACACACCGGAAGTCTCACCTTTACTTCATTTTACATATAGTGGTTAATTAAGTTTAAAAGCAGTTTTTTTTTTCCTTTTTGCCGTTTTTTTTTATTAGTATTTTAAACACAATTAAATTAAAAGTATTGATATAAAAATTTATTTTTGCATCAAAGATACTTTTAGTATTAAATACTTTCCAAGTTAATTGAAATAAATTTGTTTCTAGATATTTGTATTTGTGATTTTTTTTTTTCATGCGTCATTATAACTATATATAAAATATTCTATAATTATATAAAAATAAAACATTTTTAGCATTAATGAAATATGAAAAAAAAAAAAAATAAATAAGGGAGATGAGATTGTTGTAAGCTCACACATATATATACAATGGTAGAGATCCTAAATCCCTGGAGATTCGTTCTAATGGTCGCACAAACTTGCTAACAAAACTATTTGCCCGCGTGTTTGTACATTTTGCGCCATAGTACGTGTGATCATATAAATTTGACTACCTCACCCCCCCCCCTCCTTGCCCCACTTCCCTTTTGAGCTTGTTCATTCTAGCTGTTTCTTAAACACAAAAACTCTGCTTCTAAATCTCTGCCCCCCAAAAACTTTGCCACTTTCCAAGAGAGAAAAATATGTTTTTATTAATAGGTGTGTACCTCGTTTTAAAACCAACTCTCTCTCTCTCTTGAAACATATATATATATAATATACAACTATACTCGTAAGCTTATTGCATTTTGCATTGGTTTTAATTTATTTTATTTCTAGAGGTCTTTAAGGCATTTTAAGGGTGAATCACTTTTTGACAGGGTTAAATCATTTAAAAAAAAAAAATAAAAAGATTTTATTAATCGCAAGAAAAAAAATTTTGTAACCTTTTTTCAGTGAGGTGTTTTGAAACCTGTGTAAGATTGAAATATATAAAATTTTAAAATAATAATAATAATTTGGATATGATTGTAAAATCAGCTTTCATGGGAACTAGGATCGCATTTATCTCTAATAAGGCTTTTAATTGCGTGACGTTATGATCATCCGTAAGATTAGATCCTAGGAGACGGTGAAACATAGAGAGTGAGAGAGAAAAGAGGGGTGGGGGGGGGGGTAAAGGATAAGAAAGCAGTGGGTGGCTAAAATGTCGAGATAGTAGTCGGTGGCATGTGTTGTTGATGAGGCGGTTAGTATTCAGCGGTGCGTTCTGCCCCCGGAACTTTTGAAAACTAACCAAGTAAAGCTACCTTAATTCCATAAGCGAGAGAGAGGAGAGAGAGAGAGAGAGAGAGAGAGAGAAAGAGAGTAAGGATCTTAAGGGGTTCGAGAGCGTCATCGCAACACCCACTTAATTACCGGATATTAGGAGGCGTTGAGAAAGAGAAGGACCGCGCGAAAGTCAGAAATTCTCTCGCCAATTGCTCTCTCTCTCTCTTTTCTTATCTCTTCAAAAATCGCGCACGCGACTTAGTCGTTAGTGAAAGATAAATATAAGGAATCTTAGATGTCTGCTCACCACTTTATCCACACAAAATTCTAATTCTACACTATATGAATTAAAATTAGATCTCTTCATTAAAAATTAAAATTCAAAAATGCTTTTAAAATTCTAAACTATTTTAGCTTTTTAAATTTCGCCCTTACAAAATCAATTTATGTATTAAAAAAAAAAAATAAAAAGTATACTCACATGCAGGAAATTGAGTTTCTTCCTCCTTTAAATGCCGACTCTTTACCCCAACGTTTTGGCAATTCAACAACAACGATTCCCAAATTGCCCCAAAGAATTAATTGTGTCACCAATTCATTTATAACCAGATGAGTAACTTCAAAAATTGGCGGATCCGTCAAATGTAGAGACTGTAAAAAAAAAGAAGGAATTTTATAAATTTTTGCAATCCTCTTAGTTTGTTGAAAGAAAATTTTCATGTTAAAAAAAAAAGAAGAAGAAGGGTCTTTGTCTCTATCGATTAAAAAACTTTTATAATACGATCCCCTTATAGCTTTGTTTTCCATTCTGATTTTGTTTTTTTATTGCTCCAACGCGGGTATAGCAGGTGCTTCTGTTCTTCGGGGCGGATATTTAATTTCGCGGGGAATTTCTCTTTGGCGACGAGTTTTCAAACTAACAAGTATATATATATATATATATATATAAGAAAAGGAACATCCTTGTGTACAGGTATAGAATATCGGGCGTATATCGAGAGGCAATTACTTTCAAAAACCCGCAGGCCTCACTGAAATGGGGATGCATCATTATTATTGAATCGTGTTCTGCAACTTTTCTTTTTTTTTTCATCAAGAAAAAATTGAGGGACAAAACTTTAGTTTTGATTGGATATTTTAATAAGATTCAAATCTAGTTTTGGAGTATTCTCTTTAGAAAATAATTCTTTGGCCTGATTGGAAAAAAATTTTTTTTTTTTTTGACGAAAAGAGAGATTCTGGGTTTTTAGAGACACAACTCTCGGTGTTAGTAACACATTTATTAAGAAGCTTGAAACAGTGGCTGAAGCCACCCAACTCATTTCACGTGACCCTATACCAACCCTCATTCACTTTCGTAGCTGTCTACTGTCCCATCCGTGATACCCTGGAGAGAAGGGGGGGGGGGTGAAAGAAAAAAGACGTCACATTGTCGACGCCTTATTAATCCAGAGGCACGAGGAGAAAGAGAGGGGTACTTTGAAGAAATTAAAAGAACCGAGAGTATAATGTGAATACATCCATTCCCTGCTCAAAAAAAAAAAAAAAAAAAAAATACCCCATTCCCCTTTTCCGAAGAACCATTACCATTTTCGCTCCGTGCTTCCTCGCTAAGTACCAGACAGATAGACATCTTGAGCCTTGTCACGCTCTTTAAAATCCGCTGTTTTCTTCGCGCGATCCTTTTCATTTTTAATGCTCAGAGTATGGATAATACGAAAAAAGTGGGATCACTTTTTATTTTAAATTCCTTTCCATCTTTTAAGTGCCAATAATGACTATAATTTTGGCAAAAAGTCAATAATATTAAGGAACAAATTGAATTTTTAAAAAATTATTTCATTTAAATAATCGAATCATATTTACTCTCTAAATCTGAATTAATAAAAATGTTCACTAATTCCAATTAGTAACTCACTTTTTGCTTCTCAATTAGTAAAATTTTACTAATTATTAGTAACTTTTCACTAATTTTAAAGCAAAAAGTGAGTCACTAATTTAAATTAGTAAACATTTTTACTAATTCAGATTTAGAGAGTACTATATTTAGTTCAAGTAAATATTTATTTAATTTAAAAAAAAATATATTTCTTTGAACTTAATATAATTTTTAATCGCGAATTCTTAGGAAAATTTTTTCTTATTGATCAATGAGAGAAATGTTTTAGCACGTGTCCGTATAGCAGACTATATACATATATATATAGGAGTAGTACTATATAGAAAGATCTCTCTCTCTCTCTCGGTAAGTCAGCTGTCTCAACGCATGCGTATATTCAACGTTTACAATTCTCACGTCATCGTGTGTTAAATCTTTAGGTTACGATTTCACTCTATATATTTTTTGTTATAACAAAAATTTTCTTTGTGAATAAAATGGGCACTGAGATTAAAACATGTTACATATATAAAGAAGATGATTCAGCGAATTCAATTTTCTTGCCAGATAATAAAGAAGTATTTGTGGGACGAAATATTGAAACAAAAATTACAGACACAAAGTGTTCTAGACGCCAAGGTTAGTTTCAATATTGCACAACTTTCTCTTTCTATCAAAACAAATAATAATAATAATAATTAAAATGAAAATTTTACTCACACGTTTTTTTCACATTGGTAAGCATTCTATTTGATAATTTTTGTTTGCAATTTTTTGCTTTTTTTTCAAAATTCATCAGAAACATAACCTTTAAATGTACAGTTTTAGTAGTGAGAAATTTTTTGAGTTTTTTTTAAATTTAATGTTTGGATTTTAGTTTTTAATTTCAATTTTGTTATAATTGATTTTTTTTTTTTTGTTTTTATCTTATCAGTAAGACTCTTCGCCAATTATGCTGATCAAAGAGTTTTTGTACAACAAATTGGAACACATTCTTCTGGTTTAAATGGATTTAAAACGGAAAAAAATGTAAAAATTGTAGCACAACATAATGATCGTTTGGAAATTTTATATGGAAAATATCCATATTTAATTGAATTTAATCCACCGCCAGTGCGTGGAATTTTTGTTCCAAATGAAAAAAAACGTGTACACGAAACAGATGTAGAAAATTGTTTAAAAGATAAAAAAATAAAAAAAGAATATAGTTTTGATAGTAATGATGATAGTTTAAATATAGGTAGTTCATTGGATAGTCAAGATAATTATTTATTAGAATCGAAAAAAAATTTAACAACAGAAATGCCATTAGAATCATCGAAATCAACAGATAATGAAATATGGGAAGAATTTGGTAAAGGAACATGTTTAGTTTTTAGCAGTAAAGGACTTGAAGGTCGTTCTAAAGTAAGTTTTCTTTTTTTTTTTTTAAATTTTTTTACGTTTTATTTAAAAGTACATTTATTTTAAAGATTGCCGCATATGATATGGATAAAACATTAATAAAAACTAAATCGGGACTTGAATTTCCAAAAGATGCAAATGATTGGCAACTATGGCATCATGAGGTTCCGAATAAAATTAAAAAATTACATGCAGATGGTTTTAAAATTATAATTTTTACAAATCAAGCAAGTTTAGGAACGGGTAAAATAAAAGTCAGTGATTTTAAGTTGAAAATCGAGAGAATCGTTCAAAAAATAGGAACTCCAATTCAGGTGCAGATTAATAGAAATTAATTTTTAGAATAATAGAATTTCATTGTTTTTTTTTTTTTAAATTGTATTTTCTTTAAAAGGTTTTTATCGCTGTTGGATACAGTCGTTTTAGAAAACCATGTACTGGAATGTGGGAACTTTTATCGAACGAAGTATGTAATAAAAATTTAAATAATAACAAAAAAAAAAAATTCACTTTATATAAATAATTTTTTGTAAAATACTTTAGAAAAATGATGACGTGAAAATAAATAAAGAACAATCACTATTTGTGGGTGATGCTGCTGGTCGACCAGCTCATAAAGATTTAAAAAGAAAGAAAGATCATTCTCTTGCTGATCGATTATTGGCTATGAATTTAGGATTAAAATTTTATACACCCGAGGAACATTTTCTTGGACATAAGCCATCTGTTTATAATCCACCAATTTTTCATCCAAAAGAGGAGGTTAATAAAAAAATACATATTTGCGATCCACCAAATGCAAATATTACATCAAAAGAACAGGAGGTATTAAATTTTAATTTTAACACTTAATCACTTAAAATATTCTAAATGATTTTTGTTTCTTGCAAAAAAAAAAAAAATATAGATTATTGTCATGGTTGGATGTCCTGGTTCAGGAAAATCTCATTTTGTCAAAACTTATCTGACTGATTATACTTATGTAAATAGAGATACATTGGGTAGTTGGCAAAAATGTGTCGCTGAAACGGAAAAAGCATTGATTCAAGGGAAAAGAGTTGTTGTTGATAATACAAATCCAGATGAAATTTCAAGGCAAAGATATGTAGATGTGGGTAAAAAGCGTAAAGTTCCAGTAAGATGTTTTGTAATGGCAGTTAATAAGGAACACACGAAACATAACAATAAGGTTTGATTTTAATAAGCAGAAAAAAATAATAAATATTTATTAATATTTCTATATTTTTGCAGTTTCGCTGTTTAACTGATCCGACGCATGAAAAAATTAGCGATATTATTATAAATTCTTACACGTAAGTAATTTTTTTTTTGTTTTTTTTTTTTTTATTCAAATCCCAAAAATTCGATTTTAAATGCTGGTTAGTAAATGAAATTCAGTGATTACCGAATATCATTTCTCATCAGTAACATCGAATCGAAGTTGGCCTGGCGTTGCATAAGATTTGTGAAACTCCTGCTACTTCTGTGTCTTCGGCTACATACCTACTTCATCTCAAATCTTCAACCTTACAGAAAAAACTTCAAACTCCCTAATTTGGATGAAGGATTCACAGAAGTGGTGAAAATTAATTTTGTTCCAAAATTCCAATCGGATGAGCATCGAAAACTTTACGAAATGTATTTACTTGAAAATTGATTTTACAATTTTTTCTTTTTATTTTCAAATCATTTGTCATATATATAAAAAAAATTTACTGTTTTAAAATTTCAAAAACGACGTCGAAAAATAGTTACGAATTTTTTGTTAATTATTGTAATTGTGTGATTGTAATTTCTCTTTTCAAAAGAGTGGTTATAATAAATAATTTTTTTTATCAAAATTTTTCGTAATTGATTTGGGTTTCCTTAAAAATCATTTTTGTTGAAAAATAAAATTGAATGTTGATCCTTTGTCTTAGGAAGTTGAAACAAATTATTCAAAATGTTAGAGTAAGAGGAATGTCTTTTTACATACATATATATATATGTGTAATGGTATAAGGGATGGTATAATGTACATAAATGTAGCAAATGTGGAGGACGTTAGTGAAATAATGCAAAGCAAACTCGCGTTATACGTTCTTCTGAGATATAGTCCAGCATTTGTCCATATTAAGGTTGCTGTCAAGTAGCGCGAGCGAGCTCTTTGGATAATCTAAGGGTGGGGGGGGGGGGCAGGGGGTCACAAGAGGTGTTAGAAAATTATACAGCCTGAGCATCAGCCGTTATTATTAGTCAACACCCTCTCCCATTTTCGCATTCCATGACAATATAACTCTGTGTGTATAAATTTTAAGCATACATTCGTTATATTGCCATTCATCAACCTTAGTACTCACAATTTTCTCGCTCACGCACGTATAAAAGCCATTAGAACTCGTGTCTTGATATGATGTGGTTATGATATTTCACGAATTTTCCCCAAAACCAGAATATTGTTCCCATTAGTGGAAACAGTCATAGATAATAATAGAATAGCAAATCGTATAATGAGAACAATCCCAGGAAACACGCGATGGTAATCATAATAGTAATTAACGTAGTTATCATCACACTTGGAATTGTAAATAAAGCCACGGCAGGGGAAAACAGATATGTTATTAGAATTGATTAATAATTTATTTATTTGATTATAATTGGTTTTTGTTATCCTTTTTTAAAGATTGACTTTTAGAATTTGAAACTGTTTTTATGGTATGTATGTATATATGTGAGACACAGTGAATGGAAGTTGCAAGTGGGTTTATATGGTATGGTGCGAGGATGGGTTAGGATCGTGAATATAAAGGGGTGTCGTCGCCGGCGCCGCTCGCGAGCCTGTAATGCGTTATTAATGAACACCAAGAATTTCATTAAAGATTGTTTGTATATCAAACTGTCCACTAAATTATGCCCTATAACCCCCTGGCAGTAGCCTGACTCCTTCCTATATACTACATGCCGAGAGAGAAAGAGAGGAACTATTGGTTTTCCCTCGAGTAATAGAAATCCTCTTTTACCGCACTAATTTTGAAAAAATATTTATTTTACACACAAAAATAATTTTACAGTTGTAAAAGTGTTTTTCAAATTATTAAAATAAAGTAATCGCTTCACTTCTGTCACGTGAATTTTGTTGCATTATAAAACTAACAAAAAATTTTTTTTTAAATTATTTATTTACAGTTAAAATTCAACTTTAGTTTTAATTTGTTTTAGGTGTGCAGTGTTATAGTATCAACCATTCTGGTGTGCGCAATGGACATTTGGTAAGAAACATATTTTTTTTATCATTTTGAAAATATAAAATTAATAAATATAAGGGCTAACAGGGGCGCGAAATCGTTGGAAAGCTATTAACTTTAGACTGAAATGCTTTCTCTCTAACATCGTCTCATTTCGTTCAATGCAAATTTGCATCCCTGTAAACCATTCAGTACCTAACTTTAGTCCAACCATAGTTAAAATTTGTAAATTCAAATTTTCTCTTTTTTTGATTAAAAGTTGTTTTTTTTTACGATAAAAAGTCGAGTGCAAAAAAGATTGAGTGTAACGAGAAAAAAAAAATTGAATTTTTTTTTACAATTGAAGGGTGGAGTATAAGTCCGGTCAGTTGATGTGACAAAAAGGAAGGGGAAAGGAAAGTGCCCATAACGGAATTAGGTTTGGGAATTGTTGAATCATGTCCCGCGTGTATGGAATAACGCGAATGCGCAGTAAGTAATCATATTAGGCTATATACAGTTTGATTAAACGAATGATCGTAGTCGACAACACCATGGGTGCAGCCTCGAACATTAATATAAAATTCAATTGTCATTCGACGACAGTCACTTTATTAACTGATATATAATATCTGATATTATTGTTATTATTTTATTTCAATTATACAACTTTTTAATTTTTTAAATTAATTTTTAAAATATTAAATCACTAGTTATATAAAGATAATACTGTTGGAAGTTAGTGCATCGAGACTGTACCGCATTTAAAATACTTATAAATGTGTGTACGAACGCGAGATTAAGCTCTAGTCCGAATTATGTATTTAATGTGACCGAAAATGTCCCAATTGGGAAGGCAAGCACACCCAATCCACCACATCCCTTGTAACCTTTTCCATTCTCCAAGCAGCCATTCACAACTGCTCTATCTTTCTCTCTGTTCAGTAGTGGTAGTAGGCCGCGAGTGTCTGACCAACGTAAAATACGTTATTAAAGTACATTAGCCTGGCTCAAATCATACTAAACGACGTAACTTACTTTTGCTGCGATATTTCACGGTCGCTTTATGAATCCCTGGATACTAATGCGAGTATTCACCAAATAAAAGTCCATGATGACAAGAATGCGAGGTCGAACGCTGGGAATTCATATATGAATTATCGTATTAGAGATATTGTCTAGGTTCAACTCTCCAAAAATATAATTGCAAACAAAATTTATCTTTTCATAATTCTTTATAACTTAAGAGATTTTGAAACTTTTTTAAAAAAGGTTAAATTTTAAACCTATAAAAAATTTTTATATCCTATCTCAAAGTTACTAAACCTATTGCTCTTGACAAGATATAAATTAACTGAAATCAATTGTGATTTGATAATATAGTACATTTTCATATCATATATAATTATAGATATATAGGTGGTTATTATAATGTTTTGTGAATCTGTTTTGAAATAATTGTAAAGGAAATAAATCCTTGGGGGATTTTGTGCCACATGCTATAAATGAGGTGCGAATATTACTGGATGGTTTATTGGGATTCACCTACTGAGAGGCGCGCGCTCTCGGTCTCATTAATTACTTAATTAATTATATTATTACGTAAGCTTCTAGCAGTCACAGGGGATCGCAAATTTCTAAACTCACGCGAATTTAATCATGTGCAAGGCATAAGGTATTATAAACCGCGCCCATTTCTTTTCATCAAAAATATTGCTTTATTTTCTTTAACTAAAAAAGAACCTTTTTTTTATTTTAAGATAATCTAATTCAAGTAATTTTTACAGTCCTACATAAGGACCTACAAACGGTGAGCTAAATAAAGCCAAACCGATCTTGTAGAAACTGACAAATGTGTCAAAATATTTATTATTGGGTTTTTCCTATTCAGTGAGCTAAATAAAGCTAACCGATGTTGTAGAAATTGACAAATGTGTCAAAATTTTATTATTGGGTTTTTCCTAATTAATACTGCTGATATAGTATGATCCAATGCGCACCAAAATAATTATCAACTATTAATAAAACACTCCTTATTTTTTGAAGAAGTTGAAGCTAAATTCTATCTTATAGCTAATTCTAAATTCATCTAAACTTTTGCGTTAATATTATCAACATTGCGGAATATTGCTGCTGCAAGTTTAGATGCTGTGGAGTCACGTCACTTTACCTGTGACTTGAGGGCTAACACATATCTCGTAAAAGTATGTTGAGAGTGACCGTGAGTATTTCACTTCAAAGCTCTTCTCTTCCATATATACATTGTAAAGACACAAAAGAGAAAGAGAGTGAAAGAGAGACGATGAGATAATACCAGAATAGAGGCGTGCACGTCGTGATGATATAGAATTTTAATATAGTGGTTTACGAGCGCGATTGTCCGCCATTTTACGGTCGCTATGGAGCGGCCATTTGAATTCTTAGATCTGCATACTTCGCGGAATTGCGTGGTGGCAGCGCAATAGGGTGTCTATATGTAGACCGCGTGGGTACTCCAAGGGGGGTAGGAGAACACACTCTCATTCCCATAGAGGACATTCAAATATCTCGACCGCTTCTCTATATATTATATGGCTTAATAAAATAATAACGTAGATCCTTGGCCTCGGCACGTAACCTCCTCCCCTCTCATCATAAGTGTGTGTGCCCGGCGTCGAAACCGCCGATTGTAAATGGTCATAAACGGAGACGAACGGTCGGTGTCAGTCAGACGAGCACCCATTTGATTAACATAGAATTCCAGTTTTCCTTTCGATCCACAAAAGCGGGAATTATTAATTTATTCTTATTTCAAATATTTCTCTATAACCATCCAAAAGTGCTTCTATTTTCCACTTTCGTTTCTATATTAAATGTAATAACTTGTCATGTAATAACTTGAATGAAATTTATGACTCTTATAAATTTATCGTGAATTTTCCTTTTTTTGCGTTCTTCGACAGTGAGAAAAATTTGAAAAAAAAATGTTGCTAAAGCTTCATGAGACTTGATAATCTAGATGCTAAAGGTACTTGAAGTTTTGCTACTATATGCGAATAAGTCGTATCAGTTATAATTTACAATGTTATGGCGATTTTATGTATATCTTTAGGCGGTGTAGTGGCGGAGAAGTATTATTTAAATTAAACGGGGCTAAACTAAGCGAACGGGGCCACACCATCGAAGTGCCGAGTGGGTGTTGGCCGCGGTGGTATGCAAATTATTATCGCGGGGCGATAATTTAAATGCATATTTCGCCTCCTATATCATTTTATTATTGCCAGCCAAGTTAAGTCGGTCCATGGCCCGTTTACCCTTAGAAGATGTTGGTCCCCACAGGAAAAGAGGGGAGGTTTTCGAGAATATGGGTGAGGGGGTTGAGAGAGAGAGAGAGTATTAGAATCGCTATCGAAGCGTTTTCCCGCATAATCCTTATTGTTACGGCTAGCTCGGCTATAATATCCTGTCGAGTAACTGCCGTTGCTTCAGGATTAATGCTCCAGGGCTAATTGTGTACCGCCGGAAGTGGTATACCAAAACCCTCCCTTACCGGATATCTTCCATATATTTTTTATCTTAGTTCTCAAGATCTATACCAAAAAAAAAATATTTTACATCACAATTACTATAATTGATAAACTTAAAATTAAACTAAAACA